GATTGTTTTATATTTTTTTATTTTGTTCTGCATTGTTTCGTATAGGGGGGGGTTAATAAATCATTAGTTTTATTTTATGATTTAAATATGACATAAATTTTAACATTCTTATATATTAGTGGTATTTATATCCCTACCCATCTCGGCTTTTTGGTCTTTTACATTTGTTTTTTTTATTTATGTTATTATTCCGCCCTCCCCCGCCCACTTGCTTTTGTTGTCGGCTCCTGGTGACGCTTCCCCCCATCATGATCGGAAAGGCCGACCCAATGGCACTGATATCCGGCACCGCCCGCCCACCATGATTGAACAGCCCCACCCGCGTATCATTCCCCTTCACCAACCCAAACACATACTCGCCCACCGCCCCATCTGCCACTCCGGCCTCCCAAAGAAATCACTAAACCCCCCCCGAACTAAACCCCGCCCCCCGCCACCGGCGGCGCCACATTCTCCGTCGCCCCCACGGCCGTCACATACGGACAGCTCGCCGGAAACGTCGGCACATACCTCTTCTGCCCCGTCTCCCGATCCACACAATCCGTCTGGCCGGTCCCCGCCGCCCCACCATCGCCCGTGGCCGCCAACACGGTCGTTCCCCGCGCCGTCAGCGCCGCGAACAAGTCGCATACGCGCAGGGCGTAGGCCTTCGGCACGCCGACCTCGTCGTCGGCGTAGCTGATGCTGAGGACGTGGGGGAGTTGGGAATCGGGCTTGGCGAGCAGGGTGGTGAGGAATTCGAGGAAGGGCTCGTTGTCGCTGTGGTGGGTGGGGAGGGGATGGCCGGTGACGGCGTCGAGCTTGGTGCCGCGCCCCGCGGTCAGGTAGTAGATGACGTGGGTGGGGTGGCCGAGGGAGAGGGCGTATTGGATGTCGAGGGAGGCTTCGAGGCCGGCGAGGGAGGGCGGGTGTTGCGGGTTGGTGGCGTTGTGGAAGAGCTCGGTGGTGAAGTTGTAGGTGGGCGGGAGGTTGGGCGTGAAGGTGTCGAGGAAGTGGTCCACGTCCGAGTGCTGGATGTATTGCTCGAGGAAGCCGGCTACGCCGAAGCGCACGGGGCTGGGGGTGTCGCTGTCGGGGGTGTAGGTGATGTTGTAGAGCTTCTTGATGCAGTCGGGTACGGTGGCCGCGAGGCAGGGGAGGTTGGGGAAGATCTCTTCGGGGGTGGGGTTGTGGACGAGCGAGGGGCTGCTGCTGAGGGCGGCGGCGCTGCTTGTGCTGCTCGGTTTGGGCCTTGGGTGTGGTGGTGGGGGTGGTTGTCGTTATGGCTGCGCCAGGGGGCTTGGTGGTTGAGCTTTGGTTGCGGCCCAGTGTGGCTTCGGCGGGTGAGGTCTCGGCTTGGGGCGTCTGCGGTGGCCCTTGTGCGGGCGCGGCGGCATGAAGTTGGTGATGGGGTGCACGAACTCGATGTAGTCGCGCAGCCACGCGGGGATCCTGTACGAGGTCGCGCGCAGCACCGGGCCCTCGTCGCTGTCCTGGTAGCCGTAGTACGCCAGGTCGGCCTCGAACAGGGACTTGACCTTCTCGGCGGATGCCTCGAAGCTGATGAGGCTCCCCTGGTCGTGGACATCGCGAATGCCGTTCGCCTTCAGCCAGGCAGAGACGGCAGCCGGGTCCGCGGGCTTCCGGTGTTGGATGACTTCATTCCGGCTGAGATGCCGGCCGAACGAGGGATGCGCCGGGTTCTGGCGCTGGTGGAGTTTGGCCTTCAAGTCTTCAAGCCCGGGCTCCTTCAGGGCCACAAACAGGGTGATCTTGTCCGAGGCACTGGCGTTGCCCTGGAAGCTCCAGCCAGGCGGTATCCCCTTGGTCTGCTCGAGGATGACAGAAGACGCCGCCTGAACCGAAGTGATGACCAACCCCAGGAGGGCGGGAAGGAGGCTGTACCGCATGGTTGGCGATCGCACAAAGTGGACGAACGAGAGGCAGTCCTTGAAGCCAACGAGTACTGCTGGGTGATCAGCGAGGGGAGCTTGGGAGGGGCAACATCACGGTTATACGAGATCACCGCTCAACCCCACATGTTGGCGACGATCCCTTCACATCGTCGGTACCGGATCCTTCGCCGGGACGGCTGACTTGGTGATCTTTTTTTGGCTACGGCCATATCGATCTCATAGAGTTAGTGGGGCGACCCAAAGGCTCATGATCTCGTGAGATTCGGCACAATATGTAGGGGGCATCTGGGGAACGGAAGGACCACGATTGCGGGTGGGGGGGGTTGAGTAGGGAAACAAAAGAGGTATCATTCTCGGACCACTTCCGTACAATATGCCCATTCAGCCGCGATCACCGAGCCGAATCTCGCCCGGCCCGGCGCCCTCCTTGATTGGTTGTTTATGGTTACATTGTCCCTGTTTCGATATTAGGCGCAGCCACAAAGGCTCCGTGCTGTTTCTGTTCCTTGTCAGCATCGAGTTTGTTGCCACGTTGTGGCAGACTACCCTGCAATATCTGCATTCTTATCAAGCGCACATCGTATTGTCCCTGCCCAGAGAGCAGGCGTGGGTAACACCGGTACCACTCGGCTACCGTTGCACTGGTTTTCGGAAGTCGCCATCACACTTGGGTCCTCACGTTCTAGACTAAAATCGACATCTATTTTAAGTATTGGGTCCTTCAAGGTCATTGCGGTGTTAACGAGGCTGACCGCATGACTCGCCATCCGCGCGCCCCGGCATCTGGCTACGATGGGACCACGATGCGGCCGAGATCAAGCCAAGCGGCGTGTAGGACTCGTCCCGCCTGAGGTACCCGTCGGTTCGGCCTCCGTAGTGGTTTCCGTGTCAGACCCGTGCTTTGCTTGAACACCCCAGCGGGCATCCTCGGCGATGGTCGTCCCGGTCCTCTTCAGTAGGATGCCTACCAGCACGGGCCCGATGATGGTGTTGAGCACAATAGCCCAAACGCCGATGATGAAGGCCTTCTGAGTCAGGAACGGCGTCTCATTGAGGCCGATCTGGATGATGAGGAGCCCAATTTCACCGCGGGCTACCATGCACGCCCCCAACAGCGTCGCCGGCGCCCAGCTAGCGGTAGCTGCCACCGGTATCTTTTCCGAGTTCCTCTTCCGGATTCGGGGGCGAAATGAAATCCCAAGCAGGGACCACGATCCCCACAATGAGCTTCGCAAATACCATGAGCAGCGTGTAAACCACGCCCTTCCAGATGACCTTCGCCGCGTTCACAGGTCCAGGAACGGGATGGCAAAACCAATACTCGCAAAGAACAACGGTTGGAAGACATACTTCTGGGGCGCGCTTAAATAGTGCTCAAACGAGTCCACAAAGGCTGGGACACCCGCTTCTTCAGGTACGTTTCTCGCCTTGCTTCCTAGCAAGCCGCTTACGAACGCGCCAGCCAGGAACGCACCAAACAGCATGGACGCACCAGCGTACGCCGCAATAGCCAAAAACGCGCAAAGCACCACCGCCATGAGCAGGATATTAAACACGTGCCCCACGTGAGCAAAGCGCAGCAACCGCGGCGCGACGAACCGTCGATACAGCGGACCGGCGGCAAACTTGACCACGGCGGGTGTCAGCAGCGCCATCAGGCCGCTGGCCAGCACCGGGCGCCCAATGATCCAGCCCAAGCTGGTACCCCCGGTCCCGCCGTCGTCACCAGCAATGCCGCGCAGGTTGTGGATGACGCTGACGAGCACCAGGCCGCACACGTCGTCCAGCACGGCGGCGCTGACGAGGACGGTGCCGATGCGGGTTTGCGAGAAATCCACTGCTGGAGCGCTGACTTGGTCATGGGATGGGAGGTCGGGGTTGGGGTGGGGTTTGCTTTTGGAGGCGCTGGAGAGGACGACGAAGGTGGTACCGAGGGAGGTGGAACAGAGGGCTGTTCCGACGATGAAGGCTTCGAGGGGGCCTGGGGCAGGGTTAGACAGGGTTCGGGGGTAGGGGAGTGCAAAATGTGAGGCTGACTGTCGTGGAATCCTGCATAGAGGAGGGCAAATGACAGGGCGATGGGTGTGAGCACACCGAGCAGGGCGGCGATGACGCTGAGCATGAGGTTTTGGCAGAGCAGGTCGAGGCGGATGGTCAAGCCACCTAGAGCCGTTAGCAACTGGAGCTCAGCACCCAGAGGATCAGCATTGGGCACGGCATACCTTCAAAGATGATCAGGATCAAGCCAATGTACCCCAAGGCAAGAAACGTTGCTTGCCAGTCAAGACCCAGGATATTGGCAATGGGCACGCCGTAGATAAGGCCGACGATGATATGTCCGATGAGTGACGCGCGGACAATCTTGTCGGCCAGCCATTCTGCGATGGCGAGGAAGAGGAAAAATGAGATGAGGGTCAGGATACTGATGACTGTGATCCACGGTTGTTAGAACGGGCCAGCTTCTGGAGGATAAGGTCGTGGCGAGGCGTACTGTCTGGCTCATGATATGCGAGGAACCCGCCGCTTGCGTCGGCGATCATTGTGAATTCGTTGAGACTTGGTGGACTCCAGTTTCAATGTTATCAGCACCACAAATTGGTGCTGTCAAATATTAGTGAGTTGTTGATGGAAGATGGCTGAGTTTTGAGTTCGTCAATGTTCGAGTTTTGGAAAGTGTACGGATGAACTAGTGGTGAAGAACTGAAGATTGAAAGACGGTGATTTTAATTTCCGGAATGACTTGGCGCCTTGGCTGGTTGCTTGTGACCAAAGAACAGAATTAAACCTTAACCCTGATTACGTAGGTTAACAAAAACAACCTGGTATTTACAACTCTGCTAGTTACCCCCCAAAAACGACAAACACGCCTCCTAATACGCCACACCAGTCTGTCCCGACCTTTCAACGTACTTCTCCTTCTCGTGGTGAACCTTGTGATCGCCGCCGTGTCCAGGGTTCTTGCGGCGGCGACTGCGCAAAAAGGCGGCAACGAACGCACCAACAACACTCAGCAATGTCAAAACCAACGAATACAACCCAATCAAAAAGGCCAAAACCTCGGCGGTCTCGTGCAGAGGCGGCCGGGCAAAGTCCAAGGGAACAACCGTCAACTCGGAGCAGACGATGGTAACCACCAACAGAACCGCCAAAACGACGGCCCACGGGATGTTCCACAGACTGAATCGCGCCGGCGCCGTCGTCCTGCTCCTGTACCGGTGCTGAACCGACCTTGTCTCGCTGTGGTGGAGACACGCCAGAATCTCCTGCGTGTGCCGGCCGCGGGCCTTGTGCGAAAACCCTCGCGAGGCGCGCGGGTCGTGGACGTGGTCGCCCGGGCCAGCCTCGATTGATTTTTTCTTGTTGCTCCCGCGCCGCCAGGGCTGAAGACCGACGACGGCTGGCCCGAGTACGCTGACGGTGAGGATAAAAATCCCCATGGCGGTGGTCAAGACGGCAACGATGCACACCCCCACCGTCCACACCCTCAGGAATGTGGTGAACCCGGGGTCAACGAAGGGCTTCTTGGGTGCGAGGACAAAGTAGACGGTCGGGACGGCGTCGCAGGCTCCGCCGGGCTTGCTTCCATTGTGTAGGAGGGGCCAGTTCAGCGCAGCCGTCCCGAACATGAAGGCGGACCAGATGAGGAGACCGACGGCGGCCGTCAGTTGGTCCTTGTAGCTGGTCGTGAGGAGGAAGTGGCGGAGGGATTGTTTCGGGGCTCGCGTGCGTCGCCTGATGCGCAGTTCTTCGGACGCGATGAGCGCGACTTCTTGCTCGGTGGCTCGCGCCTCGGCGACGGTCTGTTGCGAGTGAACCAGCGCTGCAACGTAGAGGTCGCGGGAGCTTGTCGATGTCGGCGCGCGTCGGGGCCGCCGTGATCTCCTCAAATCAATTCGGTGTTGTAGACCGTGGTCACGGCACCGCCATCGATCTGCACGTCTTCGCTTTGGGCGGCCGTCGCGGAACCTCGATTTGCTCGTGCCAGTGTGAGACGTAGTGTTGGACTGCGCGGCCGAGGGCCACTTGCGCCGCGTCGTGGTCGCGCTTCTGCTTCTTCGGCTGCCGCGTAAAGGGCGAAGGCCTTGAGGACCTCGGAGTAAGAGCGCGCTCGGGTCAAGTCAAGCTGCGTGACTGCGCCCTTGCGGCATTGTTGAAGACGTTCCTGGTACTCGCCGTCGGCCTTGGATTGGTTTTTCCCATCGACGACGAGGGCTTGGCGGAATAAGACCGTGAAGACGAAATAAACCGGGTACCAGAGGACGAGTTGGATCAAGACGGCGTAGTCGATGATGATCAAGTTGTAATCCACCACGTTTAGGAGCATGGTGGTGAAGAGCGACAAGGTGAGAATGCCCCATGCTCCGTGCCAGAAACGGAACTGCTTGTCGACGCCGAACAGCACGGCAATAATGGCGGCGGCATACAGCAGATAAAACCCGACGCGGATGCCGGTGCCGATGAGCCTCTGGTCACCAAAGATGTGACAGGGCATGTATGAGGTCACAGCACTCAGCTCGCCGGTACCGACGAAGCCGGTGTTGGTGACACCCACAAACTTTCCCATCGTGTCGGGTATTCTCCTCTTGGAGATCTAGTTGATGATGGTCCGATGGATCTTGTCAGGGCAGCGAAATCTGCGCATCCACGACAGCTATCATTGAGCTTGGAAAAAACACCAAAGACCCAGGCGGAGGCCAAATACCTGTGGACCGTAGCCAAGGTATGAAAAAGCCAAACACAATAAGGACGGCGGAGACGTCGAGGAACAGACGCCACTGAGGGGACGTGGCTCGACAAGGGCATTAATGAAGTGCATGACTAGGCGCAAGGCTTCAATAAGTGCCGGCGTCGTAGCGATTCCTGGTTTTGCATTCTCCAACCACAAGGCGGGGAGAAGTGACAACGTGCTATGTGACATCTGCAGCCCAATGCGACGCCGATGTAGGTAGGTGACGGCGGGGATTGAGTTGCATGCGCCAGAGCCATGATTGGGCATCGAGACAATAGACTCACATGGCTTAGCGTGATATTGCCCGATCGGCCGAGTGCCCAACCAGTCGAGTGCCAGTCTGGCAACCGGAAATGGTGAACAACTCACCGCTGGTGAAAATTTGGGGCGTTCCTGCCATGCTCGAGTTTTCATGTAGCCTATCAAAGGTCGCCACGGAAGACGCCTGTCAGGCACTGGGAACATGACGGTTCTCGGCTCAAGGAGTCAAGAGTGCAACCAACCTCTTGGAACTGGGGAAGCCCTGAATTTATCAAGTATCCTTCCTGTTCCTGGCAGGTTTCCATCTCCCCCTCGCTCCTGCTTGATGCATCTCTCCGAAAAGAAAAATAAAAAAAACATCAAAGTAAGAAAATGTGGAGCCAAAAATTGACGATTTCGGTTGGGGCTCTCCAGCTGCTGCTGGCTCTGGGTTCAGCTTCGGAGCAACAAGTCTTCAAAAACACACCTCGAGTCAATTTGGAGGCCGGTCATGTTCACCGCCGTCAATCAACATCAACACCTCCTGGTTATAGCCCCGACTTTGGGCTGTGCGGCACTGGAACAACTTGCCAAGACGCCTGCGGACCGAATTGGGAATCCTGCGAGGCGTCGACGACTCTCTCGCTCTTTTGCTACAATAAAGTCGATTTGAAGCAGACGTGCTGTGAGAATGGGTCAGGGCGTGGGTTATATCGATTCCCGAGTTGCTCGACGCCAATGCTAACGTGAGCCAATAGGTGCCTGCGAGGAAGGCTACTACTGCGCTTGGCAAGAGTTTGGAGGGAAGGTTTGGTGTTGCGAGGATGTAAGTGTGTTCCGCCGATTTCTGTCCCAGCTCGTACTAATTTTTTCCAAGGGCCAAAGTTTGGAAGAATGTGGCGTGCCACAGACGAGCTCATCAGCAACGGGCTCCCCGACATCCCCTAGCGGGCCGTCTTCCCAGACACCCGGTTCTTCGACCTCCACAAAGTCCAGCCGAACAGTGACCGGGAGTGGTACGTTGTCTTTAACCAGCTCACAATGCCCTGCGACAACCGTGACTTCATGGGCAACAACAACCGTGGTTTCAACGGTCAGCATCGCGGCCACCACTGTGACGGTAGTAGGACCGGGTGGTGGATGTTACTCCGAGTCGTCAACCTCTTTGTCGGCCAGCGAACCTTCTTCGGACATTTCACTTTCGGGCACCATCACTCAGCCCCCGTTGTCATCCTCGACATCTTATGGGCTACCAGTGAGTTTCTACTGCAGGCAATTTTGTGTTCGGTCAAAACTGACGTTTTTCTAGACTCTGAACACTACAACCACGGGAGGAATCGCGACAGCAGGCGCTTGGGGGCTTCACGTCAATCTGCCATATTTTGCCTTGGTTTTGCTCCCACTTCTTTGGCTTTGAGATTTCTGTCTGCTGAGGTAAATAATGACACGGAATGCGAACTGGGGCGTTGGTGGTGGTGGTGGTGGCGGCGGCGATCTTCTTTTTTTCCATTTCTTTTTCCTTTTTCTTTTCCTTTTTTTCTTTCTTTCTTCTTCTTCCGTTTTAATTTTTTTTTTTTTTTCTTTTTTTTTCCTTTTCGCCACACTTGGATACCCTTTATCTGGTTCTATATGAGTTGCCCTGTTTCCTTTATCGTAATCTCTATAAACAACCCTGAAGGCGGCAAGACAAGTACCATGTCTCGTAACTCCTCGTAGGGATGGACCCCTTGGTTAAAGACGGAAGCTTGTCACGGGCTTGTAGAGCACGGAATAGCCGCAATAAGCTACAAACATGTTGGTTATTCATCGTGCTACATGCGTAAACTGGGAGTGAATCACGTTGTATAAAAACACAACATGGATTGGACTGACGATGATTCGCAGGAGTTCAACAGTTTCCCTACCCTAGACTTTCAGGCACCCCCGAGCACACACCATAGCGGCATCGAAGACCCATCACATTGCAAATTACAAGCGCCATACCATGGGTAGAAGTAACAAGTGGCAAGATATGGACGAAGCGGACCGACTGCCGCATGGTGTGACGCGGACCGGATATGACCATACGAGCCAGCAATATACGTTCACGACTGCCGAGGGCGAGGAACTTCAGGGTCAGCCTGGGCGGCGATTTGGCGAATTGAGACGGCTGGGCCCTTCTTGTCGGTCGGCAACTGCTCCCGCGGCGTTTACCTCGGGGTGGTCGGAGACGCAGTACGGCGTGCGACCCCAGACATCAGGAGTGTCACTCGCGTCTTCTTACGTCACCATGTATGCTGAGAGCATTGACCAAGAGTCATCTCCAAGGCGGCCCTCGGACCCAGCCATCGGAGCTGGTGGTGAGGCCTTGTTCGTCTGTATACTCGGAGGTCAGCCCTGTTTCCACAAGGCGAAGGGGGTCCTTCTCGGGTTCCACGTCATCTCCTCCCAACGTATCTCCCTTATCCAGCGTCAGCCCGTCTCTCCCGTTTTCGCGCCGCCCCGTCCCCATCTACGGCCTCCCAACAATCACCACCCCGGCCCCGAGGCCGCTGACTCCGATTCCGGCCGACAATAACCGCAACCTCCCCAACCTCCCCCTCTCCAACAACGCAAATCCGCAGGGAAACCGGGCTGGAAACCTGATAAGGCCACCTGGCATCCGGACGACCACATATCCGTGCCGATCCCGCTGCACCGGCCGTCACAGCAGCCGGATGCAGCAGCGCCCGTCTTTGCCACTACCATCCGGAGCGACGGCTCCCGCCCCAGAGCTGGCACAGTGGGAGGAGCCGCGGCTGCCAGGAACATCTGGAACCGCAGCAGCAACAGCAAGAGCAACAGCCCCAGCCCCAGCCCCAGCCCCCAGCCTGTATTCCGTGCCCGTGGGAGGAGGAGGAGTCCCAAGGGGTTGCGGGGGGCGGTTGAGAGAGGGTGAATGGGTTTAGGGGAGATCGCGGTGAGATGGCTGAGGCTGAGCCTAGAGGCATGTGTGTGTTTGTGGATGCAGCAAAAACAGAGAGACACAGCAGCAGGAACAAGAGATTGAACCGCAGGTGCCGGGGGTGATGGGTCAGCAGGGTTTGGCGCGGGCGTCGGTTGTTCGAGTGCCGTTGAAGAAGGTCACGATGGGGATGGCGGCGAAGGAACTGTGGCGTGATACGGTGGCGTATTTCAATCATCTGCTGACGTCGGCGCTGCGCAGGTCGTCGCAGGCGTTGAAGCGGAAGAATGAGAAGCGGCTTGCGAGGTTGCATCGGGAGGAGGAGAAAGGGACACTCGGAGTTTTTGGAGTGGTTGGAGGCGGCGAACAGTCGGATGCAAAAGAGGGATCTGGGGGATAAAAAGGTTCAATCTTAGAGGGCACCAGGGGATGCATCATGGGGGCGTACATATATACATCGAAACGATGAGAAGGCAAACAAACCTTCCAAGGCGTAAACGGGATGGTGTTTGACATGGAGTGAGTACCAGTTTTGACTCGCACCTAACACCTACTAATTATATATTATTATTATTCATACTCCGCTATGCCCTAGAGGCGTGCCGGACCCTCAGCTTTTTAGTGTACAGGAAAACCGTGCCCTCCCGGGCCGGGTAAAAAACCCATACCAACAATCAAGGAGCGATGCGTTCTGGTGAGTCTGCGTATACAAAGAGAGGAGGCCTCCTGGCCTCCGAACGGGGGCGCTTCAGGCCGCCGCTTCCAGCTCAAGCCTCCTGGCTAAGTTGTACATCGGCAGCTTCCCCGAGTCCATCAGCCAGTCGAGAACTCTCCTCGCGAGCCGTGCAGTCGTGGGATTGATGCCGTGTAGAACAGAGTAAAAGTCCCGTCGTGTCCGAATTCCAGTTCTCTCCCATCTTCTAGTCAACGGTGGGGCCAAACACCACACTACCAGGTGTTCGGCAGTCTCTCGTCCCTCGCCACACTCGCAGGCAGGAGTCAGAACCTCCGGGACTCCCCGTGTAAACAAGAAGTCCCGTAAGCCTATTGCTCCCGTCCGGATTTGAATCAGCAGTGAGCTCTTTGCCTTGCTGAGACCGTCGTGCATCCTTAGGGTTTCGTTCCGGAATAGCGTCTCCTGCTGATGGTCAAAGTCGTCTGCCGGCCTGGTGATTGCCCTGCCGTCCCGTTCCTTTAACCACCTGGCTTTCCAAGCCTCTTCTACTACCCTGTTCGTATCAACGGTTCCCCCCGTCCAGCGCATGACCGTGCCCGCGGCTCTCTCCACCGCCGTAGGCCCTTGAGGTCCCAAGGTTCGCGGTCGGCCCCTGTTGCCCCTCCTCGAGCTGAGTCTCTGCTGAATCTTGCGGCAGGCGGTGAGGACAACGCTCGCCGCCGTCTTCTTGCCGCCTCGACCGTCGTCCAGATCGGGTCGTTGGAGTCGGTTTTCGAAATCGGCAAGCCGTTTGTTTAGGTACAAGTCTAATGGTGGTATCCATGTCTCTGTCTCGAGGTTACGGATGGGGGTAGACTTAAAGGCTCCCGCCACAATCCGCAAGCTCTTGTTCTGGGCCTTCCCGAGGGCCTTAGTGATGCCTTTCTTTACCGGCTCGCCTCCCACATCCGTGGGGATGTGAAACGATGATGCGCCATAGGCCAGTGCCGACCGGATGCACTTTGTGTACACTTCTCGCGCTTTGGCTAGCCCCATCCCCCATGTCTTTGCCACGATCCTCGACAGGGCATAGCTCTGGGTCCTCAGCTTCTTCTCCACCGCCACCAGGTGAGCCTTCCAGTTGAGTTTCCAGTCCACCCAGACCCCCAGGAACCTAGCAGACCCTTCTGGTTTAACGGGGCTAGTGCCTCCCCCTAGGTTGGCAAGGTTTACCTGTTCAGTCCACTGCCGTCGCCCTTTGTTGAAATGGATGAGTTCGCTCTTTTCCGGGGCGAACTTCATCCCCCGACTGTCCGCCCATCGTATACACGTTTCCCACGCCGCCTCTAGTTGCCGGGCATTGGCCTCGGGGTTTCGACCAAATACCAGGAGGTTGGTGTCATCCGCAAACCCTGTTATAGCCAAGTGAGGGTGCTCGTCTTTTAGCCGCTTGTATAATGAGGAGATGTAGAGGATGAAGAGAACAGGGGAAAGGGGTGAGCCTTGGGAGACCCCCGCCCGGATTGCCGTCGGTGCCGCCGTCTTGCCGTCGAAAAGAAGGGTGGCCTCTCGACCGGTCAGCCAATCTCTCGTCCAGAGGACCAGCCACCTCGGGAAGCCCATTCCCCGCAAAGTTGCTAGCAGTCGGGTATGGTTGACCGTATCAAAGGTTCCTGAGATGTCCAGTTGCAATAGGGATGCCGCACCCTTCTGTCTCCACGCCTCCTGGACCTGGGCTACTACCAGCCGGACAGCCAGCTCTGTGGAACGGTGTGCCCTGTTCCCCATTTGTTCATCTGGTAAGAGGCCGTTGACTTCTGCAGCTTGAGTGACCTTCCTTGCGACCACTGACTCTATTACCTTCCCCAGGGTACCTACTAAATATAATCGCGTTCACTTCTTGCAATGCTCACGAAATGCATTTGATGACAACTAGTGCCCAACGTGAAGCTCATCGACTCATGGTAAGCAATTGAGTGGGCCAAAGATGAAGTGTTATAAGTTTTAACATGTGATGAAGTCGTATATTTTTGAAAATCCATGGTATCGTAGTAGAGGTAGGCATGAGGTTATTGTAGGGCACTACGAGTTAAAGATTTAGTCTGCCTATATGTGTAGAGAGAGCTTCTCTCGAGTCATTCGGTTGGAATGTGTTTTTGCTAAGATGAAAACTACCTCACATAAGCTTTAGGCGCTCAGAGCCAGATTCTGGTTAAAATTCGAAACTCAGCAGACTTCGTCGGTCTGAAGATCGACGAGAACGGCGAGGGCTAGGCAAACGCGCAGTGGGTTTTTCGAAGCATGTGCCAAGCAAGTTTTTATATCAGTTCGAGCTCAGTCTGAGCGCAGCATGTGATTTAGCATTACGCAACTGAGGAGGAGTTCCACTCTGCGGAATAAACCAATACAGCAGCACTTATTCGACAGCTCCGTGGTAATATTCGAAGGCCGTAAAGAAGGAGAGGAGTTCCTGTTGGTCCTATCGTTCCCCAATTGAAACGCCTGGAATAGATCATTTAGGTAGGTGCCAAGTCGTTCTCTAACCTCAGCCGCTTCTATAACCACAGGATGGGCGCGAATAGGTACTTTTTCAGTTTATTGTTCAGTTTATTTTGGCTGGGATACCGGCATTGTCATTGACCACGTCGAGATTAAAGCGATTTCCCATAGGGTGTCGTTGTTGCACTGTGGTTGAAAAAACAGCGAATGTTACCTAGTAGTCTGACAGCGTATAGTTATTATTTGACTATTACCTACGAGTTCTTCTGGCAACTTCTTTTTCTTTCCCCGGTCTCCCAGGTTTTTGAATTGCAATTTTGAGTCTCTGTGTGCTCGACGATCTCGACCTAGGTTGGGGGTTGCCGGTTGCCTCACACGTTTCCCGGTGCCTCAAACGTGAAGCGCTCAGACATCACGAAACCGGTGACCAAGTGTTTTAAGGCAACTCACCTAGAATTACATCATCTGCATGTCGATAGTTTCACGTATTGACATCAAGGCAACAGTTTTCAAATTAGAAAACGCTCTGACCTCTGAAAGTCCGTCTATTTAACCCCCTCCCCCCCCCCAAATCGCTCCTGCCTCCCCCATCCACTTGCCTGACAAGCGACTTTTCCGCTGATTCTGGCTCACTTTACTTCAACCCAATCCACTTCTACCACCAATTCTGGTCTCATTATTGCCTCTAATGGCACTCAATCTTTCTCTCTACTAGAATTGAACCCATTGACAATTGTTGTTCTGGGAATTCCAACATCGAACACCTGTCTACCCAATCAACCACAATCACACACTGGTTGTCACAATGCAGTCTCCTCCTGCTCTGAAGCCGCTTTTGGCTTTCCCGACCATTGAAGAATTCGCTGCGCGTCATAAAGGCGGCACCGAAGCCGAGTTTGCGGCTGTCCAGAAGTTCATCGACGAGACGAATAAAGAAGACAACAAGTTTCGGGCTTGGATTATCTCGACAGTTCGCCAAACCACCAAGCGGACCGAATACCTCATTGCCGTCCAGCCAGGCAAAATCGGGGAGCAGAAGATGCCTCAACTGGGGGAGCCCGCTAAGATGAGAATCATCTTCGGTGACGATGCGTCTACTAGATTTTGGGATTGTTTCCGCATCGAGACCCTCTTGCCTCCAGAGGTTGCCATCACCGCGTCCGCCAGGGGACTCGCTACCTTCAGAGTGACCGCCCATGTTGCCGACTCTTACGAAGGCATCGTGCCTCTCATCCAACACCAGACCAAGTTGTTCCAGGTCCCGGCATTGATCGACTCTTCGGACTGCCCCCAAGCCGCCAACGGCCGCATCACCAAAGCATCTAGCAACAGCGATACCGACAGTGGAATCGGTGATTGCGCCAGCGATCGTTCAACCGCCGAGCGAGCAAACGGCCACATCGTCCTTACCACTGAGAACGCCGTCCGGGCCAACTTTCTCTTGACCGCTTCCGAAGCAACCAAAAATGCCGAGCTCAATGCCCTGGATAAGCTGTGCGGCAGACATGTCAAGGTCAGCGAGCGCCAGCTATGGGCATTCCAATACTTCGTCACCCTCCGGAACCCGGACTTCTTTGTCGATTTGCATGAGGAAATCCCTCATTTGACCACCGCCATGAAGCAGCCCTCGTGGCCTGGGTCCCCTCTGGCCAAGAAGTTCGACAGGCTCAACCCACAGCAAAAGGCCGCCTACATGCACGGCTTCCGCAAACTGGACTGCGGTATCGGAATTTTGCCTGGCGGTCCCGGTGCTGGCAAAACCCATTTCAATCTTTTTACAATAGCCATGGCCCAGTCACAGCAGTTGCCGCGTCCCGTCTTGATTAAGGGCCGGCTGGAAAGGCGGTGCCCAAGAGTTCTGTTCATCGTGGACATGAACTCCCCTATTGACGATGTGGCGAACAGAATGGTGGCGCTGTATAAGGAGTTGGGCATGAAAAAGAAGATCATCCGCATGAAGGGGTGGGGCACCGAAGTCAATGCCAGTGACCGTCTCAACGCCGCCGAGGATGCGGCTTCGAATGGTGTGATGCCCGCCGTGGACTTCACCAACCAGTTCCTCAACGCCCGCAATCCCATGAAACAGAGACAGGTTGGGACCTGCCACGCCCCCAGCCTCGACGAAGCGGCCTGGCAACTCTACGACGAGCACAAGCTCACCCGCTACAGTGACCTCACTGAGTACCTGTCTGGTGACCTGTGGGAGGAAAGCCAGGTGGTCCCTATGCGTTTACGCCGCCTGGTGTACAACTTGTACCGGGACACACTCGCCGAAACTGACTTCATTGCGACAACACCGGTGGCAGCCAGTAACCACTTCAATGGCATGTTCAGGCCAGAGTTGGTTTACTTCGACGAAGCCCCTCACGCAAGAGAGCTGGCAAACCTGGTCGCCATTGCGAACTTCGAGCCCATTGCCTGGATCTTTTGTGGCGACCACCGCCAAACCGTGCCCTACGTCGGTTCGGCGACTCCGGAGTGCGTCAATATCTACCGGGAACAGATGCAAGTCTCTATGATGAAGCGCGCCTCTGTCGCCAACGTCATCCGGTACGAACTCCTAATGAACCATCGTTCCTTCGGTGGCCTTCATCAACTGGCCTCGACAATGTGGTACGACGGTCGGATGGTCAGTGGCAATACCCACACGCCGGCGGCGCTGACGCACATGAGATCATATCTGGGCAGCTTCAAGAACGGCCAGGTCTGTATTGTCCCACGTCTCGTCGTCCACCTGAAGAACTGCGGGCAGGAGAGCCACGAGGGCACCTCGGCGTGGAATCCCACCCATACCGCCTGGGTCATGAAGCGTGTTGTCGAACTTCTCAACGACAAGCAATTTAAGCACGCCGAGCGCGACGAGCCTGGAGTCATCTTAATCATGTCGCCATACAAGAAGGCCTTCAACGAATACAAAAAGGAGATCAAGAAGCTGCCCCTGTCGGCCCAGAAGCGGGTCGAAACCCGGACGGTTGACGTCGCACAAGGTCACGAAGCCGACTTTGTCTTCCTCGACCTGGCAAAAAGCAACTCCACCCGGTTCCTAGACAACCCCAACCGGCTCTGCGTTGCCCTCACCCGCGCTAGACTCGGCGAGATCATCATGATGCACCCTGCCATGGTGCGGTCCAAGGCGTTCCGTGCAAACTCACCCAACCTGTGCCGGATCTACAGTCTGTGCACCCAAGGCGCCCAAGTCGCCCACGTCGACCCGACCGCCACCGGCAAATCATCCAACGGCAGTCTGCCCCTGCCCAAGCCAGTCCAGCCCGTGGCCGCCCACAAGGCGGCATCCACGGTTAGCGAGGCGGTGCCCACGGTGAGCACAGTGGACTCTGTTTACGGTGATGTTAGCGTGCTGGAGGATGTTGATGGTTGGTGGGACAGGGTAATGGGTGGTGGTAAGAGCGCGAGTGTTCAGGAGGATGTGAAGGATAACCTGGCCAGGAAGCCTGAGAAAGAGGTGCCGAAGCACGAAGAAGGGGAGCAGGAGACTGTGAATTTGGTGAATGCCATGTTTGAACTGAAGTTCTGAACGTTTGCTGATGTCTTGGGGCATGGTCTTGTGGTGCGGAATTGGTGGATTTTGTGCTGGCAAAGATTTGTTTATGGTTTGTGGGTTTGGTGACATTTCAAATGGGGTTGGTTCTCTGCATCTACCAGACGGGGTTCTGTGTACTAAGGCGGCGATGGCAGCAGCGGAATTGCATTTGGTGTTCATGTAAGATGGGGATGATTTGATGAGCTGAGTGGTTAGGCATAAATTGCCTCTTCGAATGAAGATAAAATAGAGTATGGGCGGAGTTTACTGTAATGATAGAATCTCTTAAACATCCAATGTGCCATGCAGAACATGCTGTTGTGTCTGTCCCGTGTGCGCACCCGCGCCCGTCGTATAAATAGAAGTTTCCTCTCCGACCTCTCCAGCCTCCTTAGCTTTGGGCCGTCGGCTCTCCCAATGTTTAAAGTACTTCAACTTGCAGTCTAGGTATTATTCGAATCTCTACTCTCTTTACTACTCTCACCCGGGACATTCTCAGCCTTTTGGCGGTGCATGCATTCATCAGTTGCAACTTCTGACTCAATTCCAGCCCGAACTCAAGCTTTTCCTTCGTTTAGAGTCTCTCAAAGACCCCCTTGGTTCAATTATTTTCTCCCTTGGCCCGTTCTCTCACCTGACCTGCCGCGGTGCCTCCTTTCCCGTGGGATTGGGATCCACATTTCCCTGGTAGCGCCCACGTTTCCCCTGTGAAAGGATCTTGAGCTACGAGTCGCCTTGGGCTACAAGGTTGTCTGAGGCCCGCTGGTCCTGGGGAGTAAAGAGCTCCTGCGGAAGCCGTAGTTCTACGTAGATGTCTCATAATCCCTATCCCGACTCCCCTGGGACGTACCAACTCTGGATGTGGCCTTGCCGGAGAGGCCAGAACGGCCTGGGGCTTGCCAACTGTGATGGCATGCCTTGGTGGTTGCCGTGGGGTTGACGTGGACGGCGTGAGGCCCCTCCCCCTGCTCGCTTTTCGTTCAAACTAGCGTAATTCAAACGAGTCATGACTGATGTATTCACCACATCAGACTTGGCCAAAACCGGCAGTCCATCTCGATTCCAACCATCGCCCACCAGATGCCTTGCCTTTTGGGGTTTGTGGGGCACACCATGGCCGGACTGGCCGCGCAATGCTTTTCTTATAACACGGCTCTTTGACCCTTTGTCCCATCGATCAGACAATGCCTGCCCGTATGGCCAGCCGAATCCCAGACAAAGAAGCCGAGATCAGATTTACCACTAACTCCATTATGGCTGAGCTTCTAAACCAACGGTAACAGATACACAAGCCCTTCTTGGCAGCAATTATCATCAGGCTCACCACACACACACACACACATACACATACATACACATACACACACCCTAAAAAAAAAGTAACAGACAGAAAACAGACAACGACGTGAGATCATCAACCATGCCTCTCACAAAACAACCCACCCCAGCGCAACTCGAACGCCACAGGAAACGGATGCTCAAAAGGGGGATACAGATCGGGAACTATCACAGCAGCGGTAGCGGCGGTGGCGGCGACGGTGGCATCGGCAGCTTCTCGAAGGAGCGCCTGGACCGGATTCGTGATAGCATGCAGCCGATTCTGACCAAGCACGCGACCGATGAGGAGATTAAGAGTCTCTTTAAGGATGGAGATGGGGATGCGGATGGGTTGGGGGTGGGTGGGCAGTGGCGGCGTGGGTTGGGGGAGTGGGTGCGGAGGTTGGTTCGGCGGCTTAAATTTTCATGGGTACGGGAACCCGGTGAGGTGGGGGGTTGAGCTTATTTTGAAGGAGTGGTGAAGGGCTGGTGCTGAGTGCTCTGTGGGATGGCTAATGGGGATCATTGAGGGGGTGATGGGTTGCGTACCACTGGTACGTAAGCCTCGCCTCCATGGCGTGCTCCTCCGCCTACGCTAAGAGACAGTGAACAGTCTAGGCGAGGAGGATTCGGCCGTCGAGACCCTGGCGTAACATCATTTCCCCTAAGCTCAGGAGGTTCTTGGGATGTCTGAATTCGAGAATCACAAAATTGATGGTGTTGCCCCATGTGGTTTGGGCGCGCGCGCGCGTGCGTGTGTGTACGTTAAGTCTCGGCCCTACCCAGCCTCGAGTCAGCCCTTCCAAGGCATATCCAAAAGTGTCACTAGCTGAAAACTGGCGGCCTACTTTTTCTTCTTGTCTTTTTTCTTATTTTTTTCTTTTTTTCCTTTTCGTCTGCCGTAGTCGACTAGTTTATTCACACGTAATCCTCCGTACCTTCTCCTCTCTCCCCACACCCGAGTCTGACTCGTGCGGTACCTTCGTCGTCATGGGCGGAGAGTCAGGCGGAGAGTCAGATACATATGCCAGGTTGAAATCGATGACCATGATCCGCTTCAGTTCGTCGTTCCAGATCTATACCCTCGGGTATGTGGGGCTTGAGGCTCGTCCCCGCCCACGACATTAGCATCATGTGGGTGACGACAGCTAAGCTTTGCGTGTAGTACGGCACGACGAGTTCGATAGCGCCGAGGTGAACCGGTATGTAGACGCCCTGGAAACGCCTGCAATGTGAATAGATGGCAGCTTCCGCCACGAGGGCGTGTGCATCCTCGACCTGAACTCCCTTCGCAACCAGGGTGTATCCATACGCCAACAAGGTGATCTTGAACAAAACACCCGTCTCGCCAAACATGCCGTACCTGTCCAGGCATTCGCAACCGTGGTCGAGGTCGTAAGCGAACTGGGACCGGAAAAGTGAGCACAGCTCAGCCTTAGAAATGGTGTGGTACGGCGCGCGGTCTTGTCGAGTATGGCGCGGTGTGTTGGGGCAGCGTGGATCCAGAGCACCGCCAGAGCTGAGCCCGAGCAAGCAGGCTTGAGTACAGTAAGGGACAGCCGATATGGGGCGTATCCACCCCACCCACGGTTCCGCTCCTCTCCCTCTTCCCTGGTCCGTTTGGTGGGGTGTCGATTCTGTGGCGATTGGCGCGAGCTCGGAGTTCCTCCTTGTTTGTCATTATCGCCAGATAGTGATGGCGGCGGGAGTGTGGCGGGCGGCCAAGGGGGAGGGGGAGGTTGAGGAGGTGGGGGGAGTGAGGATGGCCCTCCTGTGCCCAGGCTTTGTGAACTTGACCCCGTTCCGCTGGATGGCCACCGCGGGAGGGCTGCAAGGGCTTCTTGGATCCATTTCTGAGGCCGGATGTCTGCCTCCAATGCGAGAAGGGTCAGGGTTGTGAATGCGGCAGCAGGCGTGCATTTTACGGTGTCGGCAGTCGGCACGTCTTCTTCGATATCTGCCAAACTGGAAACAAAATCGAAATACAAAACGTTGGCGGCATCTTTGATAACCAGAACAACAAGACATTCTCCCGATGCAACGTAACCCTACGATAACCTGCTAGTAACCATGTAGTGATACGCTTGACAGAGGGCGACTGCTAACTGATCCTGGGCAAGAGTAGACGAGGGGTTTACTTGAATGGCCAAGGGGTCTTGAGTGGCCGGGGGCTTTCGCCCAGTGTTTAGGCGGTTAACGCAGTCCACGAACAACGAATTCGTAAGATAAGCATGATTATCCAGGACATGGCTGACCTGCTGCGCCCTGGCTTTGTGGGCAGCCTTGTACTCTCCGATTAGCACGGCCGTAGAGACCTTACGATCTGTAACACGGACTCCCCACCGGTCTGGGGCCAGGCTCGATGGTATTTCGGGTAACTGCTGCTCTCCTGGCGGCTGGTCCTCGTCGCGGGACATCGACGGCGTATTGTGCCTGAGGCCATAGGCGTTATTTCTGAGCTCGAGGGCGACCGTCGAGGAGCCCTGGTGTGCCTTGAAGTAGGCATTTACGATCTTTCGGGCCGGTGATTCTACGTGGACCCGAATAAAGGGCCGTACGTCTTGCTCGTCGAATCTTGGGGTGGGTGAGAGATCCCGCAGGGTGGAGCGGACATCGACTATCGAGGGGAAGAGCTTCGAGTCTCCAAGTGCGTCAAGAACAAGCCCGAATCGGGCGTCGTGGAGTGCGGGGAATTCGGCCCATGGACGGAGGATGGAGGGATAGACTTTGTTGCCGACATTCGTATCATCCTTGGCGACTTTGGAACTGGTGTCGCTTTCCGCGACAAGGGCCGGGGAAATGGTGACATGGACGTTATAAAGGCACTGGAGGAAATCGGTGCGTTGCATCTGGGCTTCTGCGAGGTCATTTCTTTCCTTGAGTTGCGCCAGTTCCTCCTTCCCTGGTCAACCCTCACCTCGTATCGGTCAGCCCTCGCCTGGTATTGGTCGGCCCGTGTCCTCGTTTGCTCCAGCTCCCTCTCAAGCCACTCCAGCTTGCGCTGTATATCGTCCTCATCCATGGCGATACAGGAGGAACCGAAGAAGGCGTGTGCGAGTTCCCCGGGCCTTGAGTTGTTCAGATTCGTTTTTTGGTTGGCGACACAACCCGCTGCAGTTTCCATGACCCATGCATGACCCACAAATCGAACGCCACTCGCGTTCTGGCCAAAAAAGGCCTGGAAATGTAATTAATAAGAAATCGAGAAAAAGGAAGAAATGACAAGAAAACAAGAAAAAGAGATAACACTGAAGAAACTGCGAGTGGGAGGAGAAGTAAATACACCAAATAACTACAGAGTTCTGTTTGTTTTATTTTTTTTGTTGAATTTCGTTGTTCTTTTCCCCAACTTTTGGATCGTTTTCGTTTCGTTTCTTTCCCACAGTCGAGGTCTGGCCAACCTCCGTTTTGTCCAGCCAACACCTCCTTCCATCGAATTGTCCAGCGCAAATCGGCAAGTGCTATTGAACTGGCAAATGACCAGGCATCACCCAAGTCACCCAACCACTGGATGGAATTAACGTTGGCCGAGGATATCAATCTTGTTGTCTAACCGTGCATTTGCATGTCCATCTTTTCAAACTCTTTCCAATCTTGTGGCGGCCCGAGTCCGGTAAAAATTACTGCGAAAGGTGTGTGAGATGCCATTGACTGGGCAAGTTACCAACCCCGCCCGGCGATGCTCCATGTGAATGATGTGATGTGATACGGCAGCTCCCGCCCCAGAAAATGACTGAAAGAAGCAGTAAACTGCGACGCCCCAGGTTGTATCGTTGGTTCTGCAACTCAAACTTGAGACGGCCAAAAAAAACGCCATGAAACGGGTGACTGACCGTCCACCGAGACGGGCTAAACGCGGCGCTCGAGGTGCTGTGCCGTCCAGGCCGGCCAAAGAGACCGCCCGCCCGTGGACAGAACTCGGAAAATCCCCGGTTTCCTGGGTGTGCCGTTAATCGCGGGCCCGCGGGGCCTGGGGGTGGGTGAAGGAATTACTCGGCATCTAACTGTCATCCTTCAGATCCGTCGTCTACAAGGATACGGAACCCGAGTCACTGCAGTGCTAAATGATGGTTTAACAAACAGCAGATAAATTATGGTCCCAACTAGAAATCCAGGTACTCATCAATTCATCGATCTGAGCTTGAGATTAGCCCAATGGGCTCCCGGCGACCCGGCCTCAAAATCGAAGCTGAAAGCTACGGCAGACTATCGCCCCCGAGGAAGCATTCAAAACGTGGGATGGTGTTACACAGCGCTCGTCTCTGGTCAACGCTCAGTTCTACTCCTATCCCCGCGGGGGCACTGTGGAGGCCAGATCCTCGGATCCGAGATAACGGGATAAATGGCCAAACCGACGGCCAACCTCCACTGTGCCGCTGGCAGGACCAGGCAATCGATCCACCGGTGATAGACCATTGCACGCTCAATCTAGTCTAACGGAATGATGTACCAGGGAATGGTCAGATACTGCGCGTGGCTTGAATCCTTAACATCACTAAGCCCCTGGGATGCCCGACACCAAAATAATCTGTCAATTACACGCAGTCAGGTAGCGAACAATGCAGACCGAAAGCTTCGCACCTCCGGCCTTGTGCAACATGGGCCGTCTTGTTTAATCCCAAACAGCACCGAATCCGACCTCCTTCTGAAATCGCCCCCAACAATGCCATAAAATGGGTAAAGGGGTGGGCCGATATAAGGCGGCCACCCACCTCTGTTGGCTTCCGCTCCATGTACCCGCCGCAGACGGGACCAACTTAAAATATTGAGGAGATGAAGCAACCCGAACCCCACGACCTGCCCTTTGGTTTATGACCCCAGTCTGAGGCAGGCGCCGACGGCCACCCAGCTGCCTCCCTGGGCCGCAACCTCCCCATACCTATCCCCCAGCAAGCCAACAAGGGGCATCTCTTTCGTCAAGTTACACAGACTGATAGCACGCTGAGGAATAAGTACAAGACTCACAAGATTCCCCAGGCAGATCCATCCTCCCCAAATAGCTTGTCACGGTCCTTTCGACGCCTTCTTCCCTCGCTTTACAAACACGGACTTCTAAACACGTTCTTTACTGCTTTACATCCCCTCGTTATTCGGACACCATGCCTGAACATATCCAGATTCAGCAGCACGAATGGCAGGACGGCCTCTGCGGCTTCTGCAGCGGTGGGCATTGCCTCATGGGCTGGTGCTGCCCGTGCGTGCGTAAGTAGACGGGATCCGACCTGCCTCCCGCCAGCAGCTGACTGACCATGGCTCCCAGTGGTCAACAAGACGGCCGAGCTGATCGATGACCCCGACGAGAAGGACCCCAGCGGGTGTGGCTGGACGGGCTGCGGCTGGTGCGTTATCAACATGGCCACTGGTGGCTTCGGCTGCATGTAAGCTCCCCTTGCCTTATGTTCCGACATGAAGTCATCTGCAACATCACATCTAACGGCCTCTTTAGTATCAGCTTGCTGCAGCGCAAGGAAATCCGCAAAATGCACGGCATCGAAGGTGGCATGTGCGGCGACCTGTGCTCTAACTGGTGCTGCCCATGCTGCGCCGTCATCCAGCAGTACAAGGAGGTGGAGATGCGCCGTGATGCCCGGGTGAACAAGACGGGCTACCAGCAACAGGCCCCCATGCGCCACTGATTGTTGCCAGGTACGAATGGCAACGCCAGTAAGGGCAGGAGTTGTGAGTTAACTTGGGATGCACAGAGCATACTTTGTAAGAGTAGCAGGCGCCATATTTTGATCTTTCATTGAGAGGCGATACCGAATAGACCTCACCATCATTCCTCCCCCCGCCTGACCGCGAACCGATACTCATCTCCGCGGTTCAGATACACCACCTTGTCTCCCAACCCAGCAGCATCCACTTCCTTCTTGAAGTCGTCGAGCGGCGAGCAAAACACATCGTAGTCGTCAAAGTGAATCGGCACCGTCACATCCGGATGTATCAGCTGCATCAGCTGCACTCCCTGCTCCCCATCCATCGTAACCATCAACAACGGCATCTTGGGGCCAGGAATCGTCGTGCCGCCCAAATGCACCAGCATCAAATCAATCTTCTCCCCCCTCAACCGCTCCGGAATCTCCTTCAGCTCATCCACCATCAGCGTATCCCCCGAAATATAAACCCGATACCCCGTCTCAAACCGCTCCTCCGTCCTCTCCTCCCCCCTCGTCCACCCCAACTCCACCAACCACCCATTCGTCGGCGGCACCGCCCCCAACCACTCATTCGCCACCCCCACCACCCCCGGCGGCACATGCTTCCCGGGCAACCCCGTCACCCTCACCGCCGCCACCCTCCCATCTATACTCGAAACCTCCTCCGCCACGGGCATAAAAACCCCCTCCCACTCCCCGACCCCCACCACGGCCCTAAACGCCCCCCCCTCCACCCCCTCCCTCTCCAAACACCCCTTCGCATGCCGCGTCGTCACAATGGGCACATCCCTCCCCAACACCCGCTGCACCTCGCGATCGAAATGATCCTCGTGGTAATGCGACACCAGCAGCGCGTCGACGGGGGGCAGGGAGGCGAGGTCGGGCACGGCGGGGTCGGTCAGGCGGGTGGCGTGCACGCCGGGGCCGAGGTGGATGTGGGAGCCGGAGTGTAGGAAGTTGGGGTCGGTTAGGAGGCGGAGCGGGGGGTGGCTGATGAGGGTGGTGGCGGTGCCGATGAAGTAGATGGAGGCGGAGGCGGGGTCGGAGGTGGTGTTAGGAGGGTGGTGTTGGGGGTGTTGGGGGTGGTGTTTGCTGTGGGTGATGGGAAGGGTCGGTTCTGGGGAGGGATGGTGGGTGGAGGTTTGGAGGAGGGGGACGCGTTTGAGGGGGTTGAGAACCAGAGGGGGTTGCGTGGTTTGGCGGAGGGGTTTGGGACTGTTCATTTTGGAGTAGCCGCTCGTATTGCTGCCGACTCATTCGAGGTTGTCGGAAATGTCGGGGTTTTATGGTCTGTTCAGCTTGTTGAGTCTCTTGAGCTTGCTCGGTCTGTTGTTGTGAAGGGGCTTGGTTGGTACTGTGCAACTTCTCAAGTCGTTGCTGCTCGAGTCTGCGCTCGTGTTCCTCCTGGGACATGAAATACTCCATTTTTGCGTGGTCAAGTTTTCTTTTGCCTTGTTGCAGATCATGGCGTATCTATGTCGCTGCTACTGGCCGCCGGGTTATAATGTGGGCATGAAAAAGACTCATTGTCGTCATCGATCGAAGCTCTGACCACGCTTCAACCATACCATCACCTGATTCTCGGGTTTCAACCAACAATATTCCTACATTGTAGCATGGTGGGTTATCATACACGTACTCGTCCCCTTAGTGACGTCAACCTAACAACCTAAAACTGCAAAGTCTGACTCGAAAGTTGAAGCTCGCATTTCTAACCTCAATAAAACCTTGATGGCTTCGCCTTACTCCTTGCTTGGCCATAAAGCATCTGTCGGTTGAAAACTGCGTCTAGTTGGTGCTAACAGCCAACAACCATTGACGGCAGACCTTGTTCCAAGTTTGGTGGAGTGACACACCAAACTTGAGTCTATAATTAGCCCTGCCGTGTTGGTATCTGCAAGAGCTTTTAAAGGGAGACGAAATTCCGGCTGGGCTTCACTGGACCAAACCTTTCCGGTCGCCCGGAAGAAGCCAAGAGATACTGTCATACTGATTGCTGCCCGACCAGGAGCCAACACCTCGTGCCACCACTGCCGGGCTTGGGTGGTAATATCTGGGGTGCAGATGACCGGATAATGTCGTGCTCCCGTGGCAATCAACCGTGACCGAGTGTGAAGGCACAGGGCATCGCAAGCAACACGAACCAGGGCTCCACCGCGCTGCTCTTCACGAAGAGAGAAGGGTCAGGGGTCTGATCGGTAAGTGTCATTGTCCGCATCTGAAGGGTCGCGAAGACAAAATTACAGATCGATTTTTGATCCCACAACCGCCATCACCATATCTCAGCCCTGCCAAACATTCGGCCCAGGAGCCTTGTAGCTCGTCCGCACGGGATAATATGACCACAGCAGGCCGGGATCATTCGTGCCGTACGCACCCGGGAACGAAACCAGCGGCCCCGGAGAGCCATTTCCGCCATTCGTCAGCTCGATCTGAGCACACGAGAGATAGATCTGGGCGCCGCCCGGGTTTTGGGCTTGGTGCAGCGCAATGCTCTCCACACGGACGAGGTACTTGCCGCTGGGGACGCTTTTGGGGACGGTGAACTCGACGGTTTGCTTGTCTGTGCGGATTCAAATTAGCATCTTTTGTTCTTGTTTAAAAAAGTGGGAGCATAGAACGTACTGTACGCAGGCCAGGTCGCTTCCCCTGAAGTGAGACCTCCGGCGCCCGCCACGGCCGAGATCTCGGCGACCTTAAACCACACGTTTCCTGCCGCTTCCCAGGTGTTGATGTTGGCCCCCTCAGGCACGCGGGCCATGTAAAAGGAGACGGGGCCGAAATGGGTGATGGATGACATGGCGACGAACCCCAGCTTCTCGCCGGCCTTGACGGTGGCGGTCGACGTTCCGGGCTTCATCTGGAAGCAGCGGATGTCCTGGGAGTTGACGTCGGTCACGCCAAAGTTGCCCTGGTAGTTCTTGGTCTGGCGGACTGAGATCCATTCCCTCGTCTCGGCAACGCCGTTGACGATGAGCTTGGAGAAGCGATCTGCTAAGGTTAGTTGATGTTGTGGGGATGGAAGTAACGGCGCTTACAGTGGGCATCGGCAGTGGCTGCCATGAGTAGCAAGGAAGGGAGGACCTTCATGTTGGGCGTGAGTGTCGAAAGTGAGATGGTGTTTGGAAGCAGGATGGCTTGATGGTCAAAACCCCGAGAACAACTCAAGGCTTACCGGGGAACATATAACCTCGTGGCCCACGAGCCAAACCAGGCACGGCGTCAATGTTTGACTACTACCGGAATCAAATAAAAGCCAAGAATATAGACAGTACCTGCAATCACATGGACCAATTCCATGCGGCCCATTGACAGATTGTGACCCTGGGCCCCTTTAGCCTGTTTGTGTGAATGAACCAGTTGATGATGCGACTAAACAGCACCATGGCGACCGTGGATGGATGGATTATGGATCCAGCTCGGCATTGTTTGGGGGGCATGGAGATGCTAAATAGAGCGAGGGACCCAGTGTCCACCACCTCGCACTTCTGTGTGGTCCCTTGGCACTGAGGATTCTGCGTTTCTTGTTGTGTGGTCACTTGACCTCTGACTTCACCATGAACCTTTTACCACAGTGCGAGGCGAAGACTCAATTGTCTATCTATGCCTAGGTTCCTAATGGAAGAGCACACCTGTGAGGACACCATGCGCCACCGCAATCCCTAATCTTCTCGTTCAACAACATGGCGGAAGAAGTACACGATAGTGGGGTTGGTGTTTTAGGAAGTCCATGGGTGTGATTTTTGACGAGCGTGAGATGCGCCAAGACAACACACCATAAAAAAGAGAAACAGGTCCAATTCAGAAGACAAGGGCTGAACATGATGAGCCATTCATCCACGACTCCAAGAGACAGGCGCATGTTGACTTGACCACGCTCCCACGCACCACCGGAAAGAAGGCGGGATTTTCCGAGGCCCGAGCCGCCGGCATCGCTTTGACGCTCGGGCCACCTTGTGTACGCTAGACCGAAAAGGGAAGATCAACTTTTTTTAACGCAACGGACCGGCCAGCTGCCACGACCGAATTCCACTCACCAAGACCACTTCAGGTTCCTTTTGCCGTGTTGATTTCTCTCCACTACCTTTTTCTGCCTCTTTAGTAACCTCGAGCTTTACTACGGTCACTACTTTCAAGATGTTCATGGCCTCCAGGATCCAGACCCGCGCCTTCTCGGCGTCGGCGAGAAACGTAAGCACTCCCCATTCTTTCCGATTTCCGGGGTGCTTTGGCCTCACGAGCTAGACTAGCCCCGGGCCCTGCACTGCACAGGCTGGCTCCTGGGCCGGGGTCGATACAATTGAAGCCATTGAAGGCATTGGCGCCGTTTGTATGCAGCTACTGACCGTCTCCGCGCTTTCCAGCTCTCCAAGGTCACCGTCCTCGGTGCCGCCGGTGGCATCGGCCAGCCGCTGTCCCTCCTCTTGAAGCTCAACCCCAGAGTGACCGAGCTCGCCCTCTACGACATCCGTGGTGCCCCTGGTACGTCGCCCGCATGGTAGTACACATTTCTCCAGAGTTACTGACACACCTCCCCTCGGCGCAGGCGTTGCCGCCGATGTGTCGCACGTCAACACCAAGTCCAACGTCAAGGGCTACGAGCCGACCGCCAGCGGCCTGGCTAGCGCGCTCAAGGATGCCGAGATCGTCCTGATCCCCGCTGGCGTGCCCCGCAAGCCCGGCATGACCCGCGACGACCTGTTCAACACCAACGCCTCCATCGTGCGCGACCTGGCCAAGGCCTGTGCCGAGTCGGCCCCCAACGCCAACATCCTAGTCATCAGCAACCCGGTCAACTCGACCGTGCCCATCTGCGCCGAGGTGTTCAAGGCCCGCGGCGTCTACAACCCCAAGCGCCTCTTCGGCGTCACCACCCTCGACGTCGTGCGCGCCTCGCGCTTCGTCAGCGAGATCAAGAAGACCGACCCGGCCGACGAGAAGATCACCGTCGTCGGCGGCCACAGCGGCGTGACCATTGTGCCGCTCTTCAGCCAGAGCAACCACCCGGACCTCTCCTCCAACGCCGAGCTGGTCAAGCGCGTGCAGTTTGGCGGCGACGAGGTCGTCAAGGCCAAGGACGGCGCCGGCTCCGCCACCCTGTCCATGGCCATGGCCGGCGCCCGCATGGCCGAGTCGCTGCTCCGCGCCTCCCAGGGCGAGAAGGGCGTCACCGAGCCCACCTTTGTCGACAGCCCGCTCTACAAGGACCAGGGCATCGACTTCTTCAGCTCCCAGGTCGAGCTGGGCCCCAACGGCGTCGAGAAGATCCTGCCCATCGGCAAGGTCGACGCCGTCGAGGAGAAGCTGATCGAGGCCTGCCTGGCGGACCTCAAGGGCAACATCGAGAAGGGCAAGAAATTCGTTGCTGAGAACCCCGGCAACTAAGTTGTTGGAGAGGAGAGTGGGCAGAATTCGACATTGCGGATGGCCACCCAAGCTTGCTTCAAGCCTGGGTTTGCGTCTCCTACCGCTTACATTATGAACAAGCAAGGGGCGCATGCTTTGTGATGTATAACTAACAACGCGATCTAAAATTTATTGCTGGGAGACGAGATGAGGAACCATGTCTGTCTGTCTTGATGTCTTGATGTATCACCCACGCTCGCCATGCCACATCACGCCATGCCGTATACATACATAAATGCACACCGACCACACGATCCTTTCTTTTCCTTACTATCTATACACAACATAATCAACACAGAACAAATCAAACGGACCAAAAAACAACACCATCCATTCATTGCCTTCTATCAACAACCGTACCCTTCTAATTAATCCACCACCCCTCTCCACCCTCTCTCTATCCCATGGACATGACATCCCCCCTCACGCCGGCGCCTGCACGCCAAACCTCGCCCTGACCGCAGCCTGCTTCTCCTGCACGCGCCGCTCAAACTCGGCCACCTTCTCCTGGGCCTTGCGCTCCTCCTCCTCCGCCTTCTTGAGCGCCTCAGCCGCCTTCCGTACCCGCTCCCGCTCGAGCTGTTCGGGCCTGCGGTCGGCGATGTCGCGCGCCTTGAGGTCGCTGAACAGGAACTTGAGGACGATCTCGATGAGGTAGCAGGCGACGTAGTCGAGCACCATGACGCCCGTCATGGTGGTCTTGAACTCGGCGGTGAAGGGCACCAGCTTCATGGCCTCGTTGAGCTCCGGGATGAGCTCGGTCGAGCAGGCAAAGGCGATGCCCGTCACGCCGAGGATGCCGTAGAACATGCCCTTGTTTTCGGAGAGGGATTCGCGGAAGGGGCGGCCCTGGTAGTTGACGGCGAAGGTGGAGATTTGTTGGATTAGCTGGAGGAGGTAGACGGCCGAGTTAAGGAGGGAGGGGGCGAACTCGGCTTCGAGGTCGGGGGATTCGGACCGCCTGTGGGGAGATGTATTAGTAACTTGCATGATCTTGCCAGGGAAAGGGGGGGGTGGGGGGTGACATACGGAGCAAGCCGCTCGCAGAAGCGAGCAATGTAGATCAGCGTCGCCACGTGCACCGCAAACTGGCCCAGGATGGACCCGATGATGTAAAAGTTAAAGATGTTCGGCTGCGGCCGCTCCTTGGACAGGCCTTCGACTGACTTGGCACGCGAGATGGACAGGAAGCATACGCTCATGAGCATACCGCTGATAGTGATCTGCCCGTCGCCGAACTTGATGCCCTCCAGGTATAGCACGCTCAGACTGTACGCGCTGATCAGGCAGTTGAGCGCCAGGATCTTGTACATCTGGATCGTCGCCACCAATGTGCACCGGCCCTGGCGGATAATGTTGGGGATGGCGATGACGTTGCGCAGCTTCGAGGTGAACGGGGCCGCCACGGACGCGTCGCCCAGCTTCAACGAGGGCGGCTCGTCGTCCATCTCGGCGTCCATCATCGACTGCGTTAGCCTGTCGGCCAAACCGGCCGCTTTCTGTTGTGCGGGGTTCTGCTGGGCGCCGCGGGGGTCCGCGTTGATGAGCTGCTGGGCAGCAGGAGAAGTGACCGTTTCGATGTTGGTGCCGTTGGCCCGCGCCAGCTGCTCGACCGTGACGCCCTTCTTCTGGGCTTCGCGCTCCATGGCCTTCTCGTAGTGCGGGTTGGTGGGTCCAGGGGGGTACATGTGGGCGATCATGGCGGGGACGGGCGGGGCGGGCTGGTTCCAGCGCTGCATCAGTTCAACTTGCTTCTGGTAGAGTCCCTTCATCTTGGTGTTCCGCGCGTGCTCCGCAATCCGGGTGAGGTCCTCCTGGGTACCGTTGAGCAGGGCAACGCCAATGTGGGCCTGCTTTAGGGCGCCAACGTCGTTGGTGCCGTCGCCTGCCATGAGCGTGTAGTATCCCATATCCTTCAATCCCAAAAGAATGTCCTCCTTTTGCTTGGGCGAGACGCGGGCATACACCCACGTGTAGCGAAGAAGCGACTTCCAACCGACCTGGCCCTGGAACTTCTTGAGCGCATAGCCAGTAACACAGAGATCCTTGTTCTTGATGATGTCGGGGTCGATGGGCAGAGTGGGGTCGACATCGATCCGGACCTTGTCATCAACGCTACGCCAGACGAGCGATTCCTCTCCGTGCGCGCTGTGTTCAGGGGCATCCAAGATGAGAACATCACGATCAACAATCTCGACCTCTCTGGCGACGTGGACGGCGGTGAGCGGGTTGTCACCGGTGATCATAACCACACGGTGGCTGCTTTCGTTGAGCATCCGGACAGCCTCCTTGGCGTCGTCCTTGAGCGGGCACTGGAGCACGAGGAAACCGGCAAAGTGGAGTTCAGCCTCGACCTTCTCGCGCTTGAGGTCGTTAATCCTGCTCGCACCCAGCTCGCCCTCGGTGGTAAGGTGCTTATAAGCCAGGGCGAGAACTCTGGAACCGCGGCGGGTGAAGTACTTGAAAGTCTCCTCGTAATCCTTGGGGATAGTAACCAGCATCTTCATGATGGTCTCGGGCGCACCCTTGACAGCGACAAACGTGCCTCTCAGCTTCCGGCCAGTCTTAGCGTCGGTAGCATTGATAGTGGCAACGGAGCTCTGGCGCTTGAGGGCGGACGAGAATTGGAAACGACGCTTAACCTGAACAGTACCCATAGTTCCAGCAGCTGCCGCAGTAGCCGGCTTGTTCGTCAGGGTGTCATTCTTCCCGAGGCTCCAACCCAAGGCGGAAAGTGTGGCCTTCTCCATCGGGTCACCCACGATGTCACCTTCGTCAAGTTTCACTAGGGCATGAGCGGATGCGAGGACCAGGGTTGTTTCCATTCCGGCGTCGTGAACCGGGGTCATGCGGCTGTGGGCGCCATCGGAATCCTGGGGCGTATCCGTGCCAGAGTGACCGAGGCCGAGGCCGGCAATACCCTCAACAACCAGGTCCTCCCCAGTCAGGGTACCGGTCTTGTCGAAGCAAGCCACATCGATGCGACCAGCGAAGGGGATTCTGAAAGGCTCGGTGCAGAAAATGGCGAACTTGGCGAGGGCGGCCAAACTAGTGTTGACGGCCAAGCTGAGTTCCATGGGCAGCTCGGGAGGGACGACGCTCGTAACGATGAGGATGCAGTCCAGTAGCAGCTTGGAGCGCTTGCGGTCCTTGCGGACACCCTCATCCCAAACATACCACGACGCGGCCAGGGCGAAGATGAGGAGGAACAGGATGAAGAGCAGGGCCTCGACGTTGTTGGCCGACACGCGCTCTGTCGAGTAGATCATGGTCCGCACGAGGCTGCCCTGAGAAGTCTCGAATCCGGTCTTGGTAACGATAGCCATAGCGCCGTTGTCGGGGGGTGGGGGAACGCCCGAGGCGAGCTTTGGCCTCTCCTCCTCGGCATTGCCATGGGTGATCTGGAGAATCTTGGTGCCGCCCCACAAAAACGAGTTTTTGTCCAAGCCGTCAGTGTCGATCATGGCCTCGCCAGGACGGAGCTGGATGGAATCCTTCAGAAGGGGTGTGCTCTCGCCAGAAAGCATGGCCTCATTGACAATGGCCGTCCCCTCCACCAAGAGCATGTCACAGGCCACACCGCCATCCTCCTTTGTCCGCGTAACAGACGCCAGGTCACCCGGCAGCAGCTTGTCGCTCTGAACTTCGATCCACTTGCCCAGGCGATAGACGTAGATATTGTATGGCTTAATGCTCATGCTCCGGAACTCGATGAGGGTACGCTGGCGCTGCCACACGACGGTGCTCTCGAACATGACGAGCATGAACAGGGTGAAGAGCGAATAGTACCAGTACTCGTCCAGCAGCCACAGCCCGACGCAGAAGATCTGGAAGACGAAGAAGGGTGCCACGGCGTGCTCCTTGAAGAGCTCGGTGAAGGTGGGGACGGGGATGTCGAACGTGTTGGTGCCATAGTGCTGCTCGAGGCGTTCCAGCTCGGCGGCAGTCGTGATACCCCTGGAGGTCTGGAATTTTTCGAGCTTTGACTTCGGCTCGGCGTCGATATCGTAGACAAGGGTGCCAAAGGTCTTTGACTCGGGATTGTAGAGGAACCGACGCTTCTGGAAGAGGAAGGAGAGGTTGGTCTTGGCTCCGGCCTACTCAGGTTGGTCTCGTTAGTATTCGGTACAAGACGGGAAGGAGGAAGAACGACTGAGGCTCACCTTGTCGCGCACCAGCTTGCAGATATCAGGCGAACCGGCATTCGCGGCCGGGATCACCTTGATCAGCGACGCATCCTCAACAGAGCGTGCCTTCTTGGCGGTGAAGGTAGCGTTGAGGTTGACACTCCAGTGGGTGCAGAGCCAAACTAGGGTCTGGCATGTGATGATTGTGCCGACCCAGACGAAGGTCCATTCCGAGGCCTGGATGTATTGATCATAGAGTTCGGGGGTCAAGTAGTATCGCAAGAAGATGGGCCAGATAACGGCAAACGGCCAGACATAGGCGTGCTGGTACAGGGGTAACGGGCGCAGAAGTTCGGCGCTCAATATCTGCGCGTTATCGACGAGCGGCGCCATGGCTGGTCGAGCGGAAAGAAATTATAGGGGAATCGTCTATAATGCCCTCATTGAAGAAGAAGGCGGCCGGGCCAGGACGATACGAATCGGCGCTGATGAAAACCCAAAAGAAAACAAAAAGGGGTACGGTGGCCGATAGAAAAATGTCCAGAAGGGAATGACGACGGGGAGCCGGGAGCGCGGCGGATTGGATGCGTGGGATGGATGCCATTTTTGGCCCCAATTGGCTGGGTGGCATCTTCTTGGCGCAGCGGCCCTCGCCGCCTCAGCTGCCTGCCTGGAATTGTGCTGCTGTGGCAGCTGTCGCCACGCCATGTGGACCTCGTTGACGTCCATGGATTTGTTCCATGATTTCCATCGAACCTCCCACCCCATCCCATCACCTGGCGTGCCTGGTTCGCGAAACACTTTCCATTTTCAACTGTATAATCCCCGCCTGTTTTTCACTGTGTTAGATGGATGATTCTAAAATAGATTCTCTGTTTGACATGGTTTAAACAACAATTTGTTACGTTCTGTCTCTCCTCCCATCATTCATATCGTTTCTCACTGTTTCAGATCTACTCTTCAAGCGACTGTCGAACGCAACTCTCCTTGGAGTAGGTAACGTTCTTCCGATAGATTCCGAAT